GGAAAAGAGCAGATAAAGAGGAGAGCAGAGAGGGAGAAGAGCCAGAAAGAGAGCGTGAGTGAGTGGGGGCCTTTCTTTTAAAGGGGTCCTTTGCACCTGCTGCAGACTAGTAGTCATGGAACCCTAGGCTGACCAGAGTACTGCCTGAGTGCCTTCTGCCAGGTGACAGGGGCAGGCCAGCATAGTGCCTGAATCCTTACAAACTTCACTGTTGTTTTCCTGTTGACTTAGCAGCAGCCACACCTGAATCTACTGATGTTTTTAATTACCATCTGCTCCCCTTGGCCAAAAAGTCAGCACCCTGCTGCTCAGATTGCACTTGGCTAGATTCCTGGTCCTGCCAGCACCAGCTCGGCCATTGCCACCAAATTTAAGTTTTATCTAAGTCTCTATTGTTCTATTTACCAATAAAGACTCAGGAGTCAGATGTTGGGGGTGAAAATTTGCTTGACCAAAGAAGCAGAAAAGAAACCAGCTAGCCTTCCTTTTTGGCTGGAGACCCAGCAAGAGAAGTGTCTCTCCACTCATCCCAAACCACAAAGGACCAAGAATCCCTACCCCTTCCTATGCATCTCTCTACCCACATTCCAGCTCTTCTATCCTCTCTATGGCTAATTCTATCGAGGGTTCAGGCAGGAGGCTTACAGCAGGTGGGTTGGGGTTGACTAAAAGGTTCTGAGGGCCAATGAGTCAGTCCATACATGTATCATTCTTCTCATAACTCTTTTAATTTTTCCAAAAATGTTCTCCCCAAAAGTTCTCTCAAAATCTCTAAGATTTCTCCTCAAAAGTTCTTTCTCTAAAAGCTCTCTTAAAGTTCTCTTCAGAAGTTCTTTAAAATTCTCCTAGAGTTCTTTCTAAAAATTCTCTAAAAGTTTCTTTTCATCCCACAAGGCTTCTAGTTTTTATATCCACAGACACATTAAAACAACTCTCTGGCAATAGGGCATGCATCTCTCTCAGAACCAGGAAGGCAGTTAAAACCTTGACAAAAGCAGGGAGCCTCATGTCTTATCTAGGCAAACTCAAGTCTCAGCGGGGATACAATTTGCAACACTATTGCAACACTATTGCACAGTGCTATTAACTGATTAAAGGGGACTTCTCACACTATATCAAAGGGAAAAAACTAAGGCTATGTAGTGTGAGACCCAGTGGCTGCTGCTTCCAGCCTCAGTAAGCAGCAGGGTGCTCTTACCACTGACACCCAGGTGAGAAGGGATTCCTTTCTCTGAGGCCTAATTGAGAATACACAGCACCCAGTATATATTTTATACATAGCCAATTTTGTAGTAACAAATATTCTGGAGTTGATACATAGATTATTAATTGCTACCTCTGTAATAAATTATAAAGGCTTCCAGCATAATTATTATCAACTAGTCACTGGCTTTGCCCCCTGATCCAAGGTTAATTTTATTAACACAACCTAAAGAGTTTCACAGTGAGATCAAATATTCTGCAACACTTCACCATAGAGGGTCAAGCTGTAAATTTTCTGCTGGACATGGTGCTACTGATTAGTTATTAGAGGAGTCCCTAGGACCCCTTACCAACCAAGCAATGGAAGTAAAGGGGACAACGGGGATGTCAAAGGACACAAATGGACCCGACCAGACTGCTAACTTTGGACAAGGAACTGTGACTCATTCTTTTGTTGTTATTCCTGAATGTCCTTACCCTGTAATGATACAGGACCTCTTTTTTTAATTTACAAATTTTTATTTAAGTTAGAAACAATCTTATTTTACATACTAATCCCAGTTCCCTCTCCCTCCCATTCTCCCAGGTCCCCACCAAACCCCCATCCCACCCCATCTACTCCTCAGAGAGGGTGAGGCCTTCCATGGGGGATCATCAAAGTCTGTCACATCATTTGGGGCAGGACCTAGCTGTCCGTCCCTGTCCCCCGCCCAGTTGAGAAGCCCTGTCTTCAAAATGACAAAAAACAGGGCGTTAGTGGGGCACGCCTTTAATCCCAGCACTCTGGAGACAGAGGCAGGCAGATCTTTGTGAGTTCGAGGCCAACCTGGATAGGCGAGTGCCAGGATTGGCTCCAAAGCTGAACAGAGAAACCCTGTCTCAAAAAAAACAAAAAAACAAAAACAAACAAACAAAAATAAAAAAACAAACAAAAAACAAAAACCAGCCCTTGAGGTGGGGGAGGAGAGCTGAGCGAGGACAACACCAGAAACACTAGATGCAATAAAATACCAAAGCACCAGACTTATAGAACCAGGGTACCGAAGCTTGTAAGCTGGACAAACTCTCCCGGGCTTGTTCCCCAACGGAAGTGGCTGTCGCCCTACTGTGCGCCCAGGCTTGCCGAGCTTGCTGCGGTGATCTCAGCCCCCAGGCTGCGTCGCCCTTTTTAGTTATCTCCCGCTTCCCACCAGCCCGAAGAGTCTGGCGCCTAAAATCACCTTAATTAACCCTCCTATATGTGCTTCCGGTGACCGCTTATCAATCACAGCCTCGGCCTCCCGCTGATTCAGCCAGCGACTTTCTTTTCCCAACAACACGGACTTTCCACCTTATTTTCCCCCTCACTGGCCAAGTCAAGTCACCCCGATAAGGACGCTGGACGTTAAACAAAATCACCCAAGAATATGCCCGATTTCCTCAAGCAAGACGCTTCAGGGTCGACCCCTATGACAATCACAAGGCTTTTCTCCGCCCTGTCACTGACGGCAACCTCGTGACTGTGAGCACAGCATCAGGCTGCCGCTGGGAGCACGGAGGCGGAGCCGCAGGCTCAGGCTCCCCAAAGCGTCGCCGATCGCCCGCGCGTGCGCAGTGTCTCTCCTCGGGACCTCCTTCCT